AAGCAAGGTGACGAGCATATATGTATGTGCCAGGTTTATCCATGCTCGAGATAGATTATATGTTTCTTTGTGCCTAGTTGAACTTTGTGATCGTCTTGACATATGCTTCATTTGCTTCTAAAACTTTATGAGTATAATTATCCATGTTAGATATCATTTTTAAATATATGACATCTTAAATGAGCATGATAGGCTAGTCTTGAGACTCTTGATATATTTGAATTGATCGTAGTCATGACTTATATTACAAACAGACATCTATACATGTTATCCTTGTGCTAGTTGAACTTCCTTATACATGTTCAATATTATGTTTGGGATTTATTTGTTGTGATATTTGGCATTATGGGTATTTTCGTGCGATTTGATATGATATTGGCAGAATAGATATTTTTGTGTGGTTGAGTATGATACTGGCACGATAGGTATTTTCGTGCGCTAAGAATGAGAGTTAGGCCTTACATTATATTCGTTCATTCTTTACACATATATATGCCTTCTACCCTGTTTGGTATTGTTCCAAAAAATACCTTTTACCATGTTTGTTATTGTTATATCTATGCTTCATACTTGTTAGCTATTGTTACCTACATGCATTCTATTTGTTTGTTATTGTTACATCTATGCTTCCTACTCATTTATTGATGCTACATTTATGCCTTCTGCCTTATTTTTTACGGTTATATCTACTCCTTATGCCTTGTTTGTTACTGTTATATTTATGCCATCTACCTTGATTGTTACGGCTACATTTATGCCTTCTACCTTGTTTGTTACTGTTACCTTGGTTGTTTGTTTGTTTGATTGTTATAATTTTTCGTGCTGATTGATATAATGGAATCGGGTTGTACGCCAAAATAGTATGGGATCGGGTGCGTGCCACACAATATTATATTGGACCATGTGCATGACGCACAATATGGCCATAGGATTGGGCTACACGCCCTAATAATATTATGAGTGAATCGGGTTGCTCGCCGTAACAATAGTGTAATTTGTTGAATTTAGTTATTGATGTGTGACACATATAGTTATGCATCCATACATACAACCCATATGCATATATCTCTAGATGCTTTTAGATATTTTATTATGTATGCATAGGACTTGTTAGTGAATTGTTGGACACTTGAAAAGTGTCAGATTGATGAAAAGACAGTCTTCATACTTTAGCATACCACACTCATGTAAGGGCATTCGTATAATACTAATTAGTAACTGATATGGAATTGGATCTTATTCATGTATAAACACTCTACATTCATATAAAGTATTTGAGTTAGTACTGTATGCATAACTCCTTTTGTATACGAACTTGGTGTATTGGTATGTTCTATTAACGTATATGCTTATGAACTACATATGTATATTAGGTGAGTATCTTTTGACTTAAAACCTCGTCACTACTTCACTGAGGTTAGTCAAGATACTTTCTGGATACATAGGGTCGATTGTACTCATACTACACTTCTCTATCTATTGTGCAGATATTTGGTGCTAAGCAACTGCGGAGTTCGTGGGCGAGTATTCAAGGCTACAGCGTTCCAGCCATCTACTATCATCTTGTTCATGGTAGTATAACACTTGTATTTCTCTTTATGTAACTTTCAAACAGATGATGTATTTTTTTTCTTGCCTACATTGTAAGTCCATTTTTGTTGCTCATGACTTGTACCACCAGTTCTTGGGTTTAGTTGTATTAATTTTCACATTCTTAATTATTTATTGATGATAATCAATTTATATGGTAATCTGTGTTAGTTGGCTTATCTAGTAGGTTTGGTTATGTGTCATCATGACTTGATGGGATTTTGAATTTAGAATAAGAAATTCAATCACCAATTTACCCCTAAAAGAAATTAATTAAATGGTGTAGGTCAAGGTTATGATAAACAAATAAACAGCCATGTATTGATTTAATAAAAGGGGCCCATGTACGTCATACAACTCATGTTGAATCTAGTACAACAACCAAGAGCTGTGTAGGCCCCACCCAAACTCCGTTTCTAAATAATAGAAATATTTAAAGACTGATGTAAGTAGTATTTCACATTTTCGTGGCAGTTACCTACATGATAGTGTGTGCATGCCGTGATTTCTAGCGGTCTACCGTTCTTTTACTTTGTTTAAGTAGATTATACAGTTTAGAAAGACCAATATTGTAAGTCAAGATATTTTATATTTTCATGACAGTGTTTTACCTTAGCATGTTCCAGGAAACTGCTACTAATAGTGACACTCTAAGGACATTGTGAATGAAGATATTTTACACTTTCATGACAGTGTTTTACCTAAGCAGCTTCCAGGAAATTGGTGTAATAGTGACATTCGCTGCAATACCCACTTTTGTTTCTTCACGCTAGCACGAAAGCAACTGTGGCAGACCCTTTTTGTCGTGAAGAGGGTCAGCATCCACAGGAAAATAGTTAAAAAACATGTGACTTAAAAAGGAAGTTTGGGGGGG